AAATTTCCACCTTCACTATAACCTATCAACAGTGATAATTAACTGTGAAAATAAAATACTGAATGAATGAATGAATGAATGAATGTATAAGGGCTGGGCCTTCTCAGCCCTTGCACCGCGACCTACAGTGATCTATTGTGCCGCCCCAAATAAAATATTGCTGAACAGTTTCACAAATCTGAAGATCTATTATCAATTTTGTTATAAAACTGTGCAACATGAGCAATATTCTGTCATCTCCTTCCATTAGAATCATACATTTAACATGAAGACTAGCAAGAGCAGCAAGAAACCAGCATGAAGCAGGTAGCAAGCACAACCTGCTTGCTACCTGCTTGATGCTGATTTCTTGCCTAGTTTATTCTTTGACACTATAGATGGAGGCCACATGTCTCTCTGAAACATCAGTCGACTTTCAACAGATGACACTGTGTGATATCGCAAAAGACAGGGCTCTTCATAACCACCAATGAGAGAACCTCAAATCCTACACAGACTTTATATGCTAATGAGTGTTGAACTAATTTCCAGTAAAAGAAATTTCACCAGAATGTATGAAAAATAGCAGCTACTTTAATCTAATTAAATTCAATTCAATTTTAATTTATTCTGTTGATCCATACTGGCACAACCATTGGATATAGAAAAGTCAAAAATACAAGACAGCACAATAGTAATAAATAATAATAAATAAATAAATAAGACATGCAATCATTAAAAGATTTTGTCAAAAAAGTTAAAAATAATAGAACACTGTAAATACTGATATTATAATGTTACTGTTACCCTCAGAAATACTTACCTAGTTTTATGCATAAAAAATTCATAGAATAGAACACTGTAAATATTGATACAATGATGTTACGATTCCCATCAGAAATACTTATCTAGTTTTATGCACAAAAAATTAATCCACAGTATAAAAATAATGTTCATGCAAATACTTTTTAATGCTTTTTTAAAACTTTTAATATCACATGCCAAGTCCTTAATGCCAGCTGGAAGACAGTTATATATCTTAACGCCTGCATAGGCAGGACTTTTATGAAACATCATCAAGTGAGTCGTAACTTGAAAAGAATTAGAATTTTATTCCTGGTATTAAAATTATGAATTTCAGAATTCTCTCTAAACAATGATTTATTGGTAACCATAAACAGAATCAATTGTAACATGACATGTGTACATATATTTAATGTCATGCAGGACTGGTTAATCTAATGCATGCAAAAAGGAGATTGCTCCATTCCTTTGATAGCCTGTTTCTACTATAGACATAACAGAGAGCACCCAAAAATATTAAATTTCTTCATACTGTTGATAATATGTATGGAAGCCATGGCCATGATGCCCAAGCATAGCAGTAGAGTTCTTTAACGTGATTCACATCCTCATTCACAATCTTTATTTTTCAATTGCATGAATAAATTCATATTTCTTAATTTGAGTGTTATTCCTTCTTTAAAGTTGTAGCTACTATCTACATTGTGATACTGGCAAGGAAAGCAATCATACCCTGGGCATAAAGAGATACTTCCACACGTCAGCAATAAATTTAACAGGAAGAGGAAAATTATTCATATAATCCAACTACACATGCGATACAAACACAGCAAGACACATTTACCCTCCAATGGTATTTCTATCCTCTTCTGCCATCACACCTAGCACACGGTCATAGTACTGAGCTAGGCATACAGAGCTCTTCTCCCATTGGTGGCAAGCTTCAACAGCCTGCTTGTAGTTAGTGATGTTCACATCCATGTCTACATTCACAGTTTCATCATTGTAAGTGGCCAGGAGCAACTTGGCCTTAAAAAAATTCAACAAAACAATCATAATAATGTAAAATGGTGTACTCAACATTTTGTTAGAATGTATCAAAATTTTATATTCATCCTGAACATAACCTACACTCTAGCACATTTTCACAAATATGTGATCACATATGAGGACCACAAATGCACACGTGCACATATACAGGCAATTGGCACTCGTAGATAACAAAACCGAGAAGAATGTCATGACATACAATACTTTAAAAAAAATTAATGACAATATATATCAAATTTTGACAGGGACCAAACTGATATAAATAACACACTTTTTGGATGCAGACCTCATGTGCTACACAATACTACAGTATAGTAAAACACTTTACATGATCATCACAGATAGCTGATGACAGTCCTGTGGGGCTGAAACATGTCACTGAATTTCCATGAAAGCATGGACTATGTGGTGATTCAACCAATAACCTGTGAAGTCGCACTGAAGACTACATGCATGTGTGTGTGTATGTGTGTGTGTGCAGTGTGCACACGCATGCATTAATGAATTACATTTACAGTACACTGTAGACTAAAATACAACTACAGTGAACTATTTATGTTTCTTGTGGCATTAGTTTTATGATATAAAATACTATAATTCTGTATTTCAGCACCCTGTTGCAATTGTTTAACTTAATGTCCATGCATTTATCGTCCATCAATATTGCAACACTTGTTTATTCACTACTTAATTTTAATTTTAGTTTAACATTATACACTTTGACACTACATGTTTTGGCCCCAAATGGCCATCTTCAGGTGTCTTGATATGTCACAAATATTTTATTAAATTATGTTAACACTTTGTGGACCGCGCACCCTTTAAAAGGTTTTTCGCTTTTAAACATGGCGGACCATTCACCTGTTAACAGGTTTTTAAAACACGATAAGTTGCAACACACTATACATCTCTCTGGCGCCACCCAAGTTGCACGCAATGGCATAATAAAACTCTGGAAAAGTCGCTTACTTGTCAGTAAGTTGATCTCGCTGTTTTCTTAAGCCACTATAAGCTCTTCAAGCTGTATGTATCAGCCAATAGTTAGTGTTGGGGTATGGACAAGGACAAATTCTTTTTCGATGAGCCAGCTGACCTGCCTTGTGAGATTCGTAGTTATGGCGTTTGAGAGAGCAGCAGTGACAGGGGAGAGTAAAGAATTGTGGCCACAGACAGTGAAAGTGACCGTAGCTCTGACGATAATGGGGGTAATAACATTGCGGTGACTAACATTGCGGGGATAGTAACAAATTTAAAAAATCACAAAAATCTAAATCCTGATTCAAAATTGAAATACAAAGCATTTCTGATGAATGTGGCAAAGCCCTGGGCTACAGACCAGATGGTGGCGGCAGAACCAGAGTCAGACACAGACTTAGTGCGACCGTGCCCATCCAATCCCACCCCACGCAAGCCTTATGTGGATCCCACAGGACGACTCTCGGGTGATATGCAGAAACATACCCTCGTGAAAACTGTGAAGAGTGAACATTCCAAGGGGAAGCAACTTTCTAGGCAATCCCATGTTTCCACAGTTCACAAAAAAAGGAGCATGTCTACATTTGCAAGCTCTCTGTAATGCCACTTCACAAAGGGGAATATTTCCAGAAATATCACACTCTCAAGCACTTCTAGGAGCATTGGAAAGTGTTCTCCAAAAATTTTAGTTCATAAAATTAATTAGGAAATTTTACATTAATTTTTAAAGTGAACAGTGCACAAGTTAGGGTAGTAGGTTTAAAAACGCCAGTCCCCAGAGTGATTTAAATATTTAAATCGCCAGTCCGCGAAGTGTTAAAACTGCTAAACTGTCTTAGTCTGTGTTAAAAACACACACTGTAGTTCTCTTTTCAAGGTAAAACCTGATAAAATCCTTTAAAGTTTCAATTATACTCACGTTATTTTGGTGCATTTTATTTCACTTCACATGAGGTGTCGTCCATTGTTCATAAATGTCTGTCTGTCCAGGGTTTTTGTTTCGGCAGCTTGCCCCTCACATTCGTAGCCTACTTTTCAGTTATGACTGTCATATGCCCTGGTTTGCGTGTTTCCTCCACATCGTGTGGTGTTGTCTTTACTAGTATATAATGTTAAACTAAAATTAAAATTAAGTAGTGAATAAAAAAGTGTTGCAATATTGATGGACGATAAATACATGGACGTTAAAATAAAATACTTTGACATGTCTAACCGTTGCTGGGCAAAGGGAGGTGGAATGAGTTACCACGAAGACAGACCCTTGATAAAAGTTCGGTTGCCAAGTTACGCGAAAGTAAGGAAAGCAGTGTTTCTCAGTGCCATGTCGAGCAGAGCCGAAGTGAGCTGAGCTGAGGCATGCTGGTTGCTATGCAGCAATAAACAACTCCCGGCAGCATTCTCCAGCAACGCCTGTAAACACGGAGTCACGCAACAGGGGAGCCCATGCAAAGACTGTTGCTAGGCAATCGGTAAACACGATGTTATGCAACAGCGGTACCTATCACATAACTGTTTTCTGTGTTGTCTGCGACAAGCCTAAATAAGGAGCAGCAAACACTATTCAGTAGTGAGTTATTAGAGAGAGAGTAACCAGTCAGTTGCAGTCTAGCAGTTCCTGAGTCGGATTGTATTGAGTGCATGGCAGGAGAAGTATTTGTGATACTGCAGATGGCAGTAGATGTGTAATTGTGAGAGCAAGTGGAATAAATTCGCTATACTCAAGACGGTGTGAAGTTATCTGTTGCGTTATATACCCAATATGTACCAATACTATACAGGTATCCCTCATTTTATGAACGCTGAATTTACAAATTTTTTCTCTAACAAAGAACTTCCATCTGTATAAAGTTTTTCTTAATGGTGCAAAAGCAGAGAAATACATAATTCTTTGTAGTTGGTACACCTGCCAGTAAATTATAGTTTATTGTTGTTGCTAGCATGCTGCACTGTAATCAGCATTTGTTTTCTCCCCCATGATAAAATGCAATTGAGACATTTTGTTTGCACAATAACTAAGCCACATCATTACATTGCATCAGCTATGAGAAAATAAAAATGAATAAAAGAATGCAGTTCTATTTGCAAAAATAAATATCATAAACAAGTAATACTGTCATCATTTATTATTTACTATTATGACATATGTTAAAAATAGTGGAGGGTTTTTCTGGGACTTGTGAATGAGTCAGTAACTTTTACATGCAAAGTAATGGGAATACCTTTCTCAGTTTACGAATTTTCATATTATGAAAAGTTCTCATGGAACAAATTACCTTCATAAATCGAGGGATACCTGTACTCAGTTCCTTACAGAGTCTATCACTTGACCTTGATCCAATTTAAAACCCTCAGTGCCATTTACCTACAATTTCAGCAATGTGTACTTTTGAAAGTAGGATTGTAAACAAAGTCCCACATCACACTTGGCACTTCCTCTCAGCAACAGTTGTGTCTGAATATCCTTCTGCATTACTTGTCTGCTCTGTAGGTGGAACCAGTGATGGAAAAATGTCTTTCAATAAGTCAAAATGGTTGAGCTTGAGATGATGGCCATCCTTTCTTGCAGATGTTCTTGCTTTGTGGAATTTTTTGATTATTTCTGTGATAAGAGTGCCTTAAAAATCTGCCAATGGAATATTTCTGCCTGTTTTCATATTACAGACTGTCTGTGAATTCACAGGAGCAAGGTCAAGAAAGTGGAAAAACAATTTCTGATTCTGTTCCACATTCTATGGAGTTGAAATTCATATCACACCTGTCTAATGGACCCACGTTTTTACTGTATTCTATAATGCAGTGTGGTTTCACTTTCAGCTGTGACATTTGCCTGTCAGTTTTTCCAGCGAGTTCCTTTACATTCTTATGTAATGTGGTGAGCATTCACACCTCCCTTTACCCATCCATCTGGGAGCCATCTGTCTGTTTGTATGCTTGGCCTCTACCTGTCCCTTTTCCAATTGCTGTGTGAATTTTCACACTTCCTTCCTGTTTCTCCTAACTGTGCCACATGTTTGTCGCTTATGGAACCAGGAGAAATGTTTGGTACCTCCTCCCCCCCAATACCAANCTGTTTGCACTTGGGACGGAATTTGTATCATTATATCATTTCTAATAAAGGTCAGAAACACCTAGATCACACTGTGGAATGATGCCTGTTGCTTTTCTTGTGTAGACAATGATATCTAATACACTTTCCAGTTGCACAACCACATATTACAAAATGCTCTATTCATAACCAACGAATTGCTGGATGGCAAANATTATCCAGCCTAAGTGAACCCTTTATTAAATATCTGGTGATTAGTTTTTCTAATAAAATATTATATTTAAGCATCCTGTTGCACTCCATATGATAAATGATATAATGATACAAATTCTGTCCCAAGTGCAAACAATATATCATGTGTCCTTGATCTTGCTCCTCTACACTACATGTTTCGGCCTCAGACGGCCATCATCAGGTGTATAACACTCACGTTGCTGTCACATTATTCTTTACTACGTGTGCACTACTACGTTTAGCACACGTAGTAAAGAATAACAGCGGCACGCACACAGGAAGACTACACAGGATAACACGTATACAGTGTGGAAACAAGAACTAGCCGCTGCAGCGCTTTAGACATAGGGCGAGTAACCCTAACAATTTTAAATTTTAAATTTCGAGAAAAATTTTAAAGGATTTTAAAATTAGAACTAAAGATTTTATAGTGCTACTACAGGAACGTCAAAATTAACGTGTGTAAAATAATCTACAAACCAGACAGATATCAACGAAGTAGATGTTGATAATAACAAGGAAAGTGTTTTAAATGTTAAATTTTGGGCTGGGTGCAGTGTGACAGCAACGTGAGTGTTATACACCTGATGATGGCCGTCTGAGGCCGAAACATGTAGTGTAGAGGAGCAAGATCAAGGACACATAATATACTGTTTGCACTTGGGACGGAATTTGTATCATTATATCATTTCTAATAAAGGTCAGAAACACCTAGATCAC